CCTTCCCTTCCCTTCCCTTCCCTTCCCTTCCCTTCCCTTCCCTTCCCTTCCCACTCCCATAGACTCCAGTAGCAGCTAAAGGGAGGATGTTCATTATGACAGGCATTATGAATGAAGGAGAAAAAAAACCCCAACCTCCTGGTTTCAGCCCCCCCCCACCTCACAGAACTGGGGTACCACAGGCAAATTCTTAGGTGCTCAGCTATATAGAATTTTATAAGTTGAAACTTTGAATTGCACCTGGAACCCTACTAGTAACCAATGCAGGGCCCACATAATAGGTGTAATATGACTATAGTGATTAGTGCAAGTCAATATGTCAGCCATTCCATTTTGGACCAAATGCAGTTTCCAAAGAACCTTGAGTAAGAGTACCCGGCAGACTCCAATTGCATGGTGATAAAGATATGAGTCACTTCCCACTCCAGGAATGACCACAACTGCTGTATTAACTAAAGCTGGGCAAACTAAACTAAAGCTGGTCATGGCCTCCATCTGCCCATCCAGCGGTAGCTGTGAGTTCAGGGGGACCCCTGAATTGTGGTCCTGCTCTGTCAGGGGCAGTGTCACCTCTCACGAGGCAACAGTAGAGCTGACAGAGATCAAACAAAAGCTGTCTGGCTAGCGTTTGACTTCAGCCTGTTGCATCCCATCCAGACCTCAACAGCATCAAGACTGGGACAGAGCTTCAGTGACATTTCCAGCTGGGATCAGGGCTTCTGATTGTAACCATAGTGATTGTGACCCATACTGGCTTGCCAGATGACCTATCCCAGTGGTTTCATATAGATGTTAAATGTGGTACCCTCCAAGAGAAGGGCCACTTGACCAACCCCGTGTCCCCACTGTCAATCGGAACCATCCAAATGAGGGAGCAATGGGAGTACTGCAAACAGTGCACCCAATCCCTAACCCCTGTAGGTGGTCCATAAAGATACCATGGTCAATTGCATCAAAGGCAGCCAAGAAGTCTAACAGGAGGAAGAGAAATGCACTATCAAGATCCCAATCGATCTTGGGATGATCCAAGATGATTGATGATGATCCACAAGACTGTCCAAAGCTGACTCCACCCCATGCTTAGGCTTAAACCTGACTGAAAAGAGTCCAGAGAATCCACTTCCTCTAGTGCTCTATATCTGAATCCCCAGCACCCTCAACAACCTTCCCAAGAAAAAGGAAGTTGGAGGCCAGACCATAGTTGTCATAGTTGTCCAGCACCCCTGTCATAGTTGTCCAGCACCCCTGGACAGAGCAAGGGAGGCAATACACCACAGCCTCTTTCAAGGCTGCTGGCATCCATAATTCCCAAAGAGAAGCATTAATAACCTCCCAATCTAGATTGCCTCACATACCCCTTCCCACTTAAGAATCAGGAGGGGCCTGGATCAAGCTCACAAGGGATGCAATCCTATCAGAGAGCACCCTAACCTCTTCCTTAGAGTCCACAGAGCAAAAGTCATTCCAGATAACCAAGCTAGAATACTCAAGACCCAAACAAGAAACTTTCAACCAACATATAACATAAATCCACCCATATGCCTAGTCTTGTATGGTCAGAACTGAAACAAATTGCCTCTCCAGGTGAAACGGGAAGATTGTGAGGCAGGGCTGGGAATTCTACCCTGAATCTGGATAGTAGCTTTCTATAGGCTGAAAAATATTAGAGATAAGGACCAAGAGAGGGTGTCTGCAGGGGTGTCAAAAAATCAGATGGTGCCCATAACTGAACGATTGAGGTTCTACCCTTTGTGTGTGTCGCGTGTGGACCACACGCAAAAAAGGGCCAAGACTTTGTATAATCACAACTACCATCTTGAATTTTTGACACGCGCTCCCATGCCTGATTCAAATTAAAAACAAACTTGTCCTCACCCACTCATCTTTTTTTCCAGCTAAGTAACATTTTGCACTTTGATTTCAGTACAGTGAACAGGGGTGGGAGGGGGAAGAGATTTAACCTTCCTAGTTAATCCTCTTATTCTAAAGCAATATTGCTCAACCTCTGCAACTTGCTCTAGATCTACTTTGCTTTCTTTGGAAAAAAGCGGCTTCCTTTCCTGTTCCTTGAGATCTGTCTAGGAAAACTGTTTGGAAATCTGCCTGATCATTTGGGAAAGAATTGGAACATTTCAAACTAATCTAAAATAAAAAGGAGAAAATATGCCCGACTAATCTCTGAGACCACAAAACTGTTCAAATCGCATGCATTCACTGTGTGGGTCTACCTTGTGGAAAAAGAACATTTTGAAAAGTGTTGCCTCTGATGGCTGAATTACACTCTATATTTAGCCTGAAGTAGTTTATTATAATTTCCAACTGAAGGTTTACTTTTAGCAGATGTAAGCCAATCAACAGTTGTTCACTGAATGGTCAAACAAATCATGACTTGACATTGTGTGTGAATTCAGTCTCAGTGTTAAATATTAGTGAGTCAGGTTTGAAAATAAGGAAGAAAAGGCTGGCATGTATGTGGATAAGGTTTTTTTTCTGATTATCTAATAACTAACCAGAAATAAGCAACTGCAAGAGTCCCCAGCTGGATACCTGTGAGATTTTGAACCCACCCATGAGTCGATGGAACTACATGTAAGAGCCCTTGCTAGTTTGGCAAGTTGGTATTCCATAAAAAGTAGCCCAATTGAAAAGATACAAAGTCTCTATAAATAATTCTTTACCAATGCTCCTATCAAAATATGAGTATAGGTAGTCCTCGCTTAGTGACCACAATTGGGACTGGCAACTCCATCACTAAGCATCGTGGTCGCTAAGCGGAAAATCACGTGACAATGGACTTACGACCTCACTTCCCAAGCAGTCATTAAGTGATTTGCAATTTTATTTCTGCATTATCCATTAACTCTGCTTGTCAGAAGCTGCTTGTGAAGCACACAAATGGTGATCATGTGACCATGGGATGCTGCAATGTTCATAAATGCGAGGATCAGTAGCAAAGCTGGGTTTTTTGCACTGTCATAACCTTTAACATCGTTAAATGAAGCAGTCAGTAAGTGAGGAGTACCTGTATAGTTCATTGCAAGCATACATATGATGGTCCAAGTTGCCTTGTCTTTTTTTTTTTTTTTTGCTCAGTATGTTTACGTGTGGGTGTATGTATCTATATGTATGTATGTGTATGTACACATACACACACAAACACACACACAGAGGCTCAATTTGGTGAAATCCTCCTTTGCAAACAAATGCTTGAACTTAAAAGATTAGCCTTCAAAAGCCAATTGATTTGTATGTATTTTATTTATTTATTTACAATGCTTATGAGTTGCTCCAATTAAAGCCAACTCTGAGCAATTTTCGATGAGCAGAGGAAAATGACTACAGGTAGTCCTCAACTTATGATGGCTATTGGGACCAGAATTTCCATTGCTAAGTTATGCCATCATAAAGTGCAACCACATCACTTAGCGACAGCAATCCCTGCAGTCCCAGTTGCCGTTGTTAACCGAATCCCACAGCTGTTAGGCAAGGTAAACTCTCCCTGCTCCTTCCCTACAACACAAAGATGAGGAGGGGGGAGGGGGGGGGGGGGGGGGGGG